GTCAGTTTTCTTTTTTTTTAAATAGAATCGTATATTTTTTAATGCATTAATTCGCCACAAGTAGCTTAGTACTTTATGTAGGGAATAACAAGTACAATCATGTTGTATACTAAAGAATATACGATTCTATTTAAAAAAAAAAAAGTTGACCTTCATATGACCGCCATGCGTCCACGTAGAAAAAAATTACATTAGAAAGTTATGCACCCTGATCCGTTTAATGTTTGTCTGAAACATTTTTTAATATTGTCAATAGTTTCGAAGATAATCGAGTAGATCGATTTAAATGGGACACCTTGTATAGTTGAGGAGACAGATAGCTTTCCATCCACTCGCGTCTCATCCCCTTTTCGAACGCACACCGCTGGATAATAATAATTATGCCCGACGATAATAAGCGTCGTCTGTTCAGACATGGATCACCGAAACGAGATGCAGGTAGGTTCATTGACCAATTAATTAATTGGCTTTAGCTCATTATTTCACCTATGGTTTCTGTTCGGTCGTACAGACAGTCACTGAAGCATTTTTAGTAGGAATGGGTTTCTGGAACCGTTGAAAACGTCGAAATCCAAGAAAGTTTCAAGAATTCGAAACTGCACTTTTATCGTGATTCGAAACTCTCGAAACCTAGGTGTAGAAAGAAAATATTAAATCGATGAATAAGTGCCGAATATTCGGTACGAGGTTACGGATATAAAACATAAGTAGATCAGCGATCGATCGTGATCGTAGAAGTAAATACAAGTCAAGAGCATGGTGACTCGTAAGAGCTTGACTCGGTTTTTTCAAATTTTATTTTTCAATTACGTATTATTGTTCTGCTGAGCCAATTAAAGAGAAAATTATAATGTTATGTTGATTCTTTGTAAATATAAGCTGCGTTTTAATGATTTCGTGTCCTTCACTATTCACAATTCTACTTAATTTATTTCTGGTACAACTTCACCCCAGCGTTGTTACGTTTAACCCCAAGGTGGGGCAAAGGGTTAAAAATCTGGCTCGGTGGATGCCCATAAGCGCATAAAATCCCCAGTCAGCTCATTATTTCCGTAACAGACCCAACAATAATGAGCAGAGCTCCATAGTTTGCTGATTCAATAACCAACTCAGCCAGGTGTCCCGTTTCAGGCGCACCACCCCGTGTACAACCCCCATCAGAATTTATGCGCGCACTCGATACCTGTATCGAGAGCCTCGATAAGCGAATTTCCCGATCGTTGATTCATCATTCACGACCTTCCTCATCGACGAGAGCACCCCGTTATTGTAATTCCACGACCATCCGCGTTATCGTATCGCTGCACCGATTCCGATTCTTCTTCGGGTGAGTTTCGAGGGTTAATTAATCATAGTATCCGGCGTGTCCGTCTACTGGTTACTCCGCGGGCCAGCAAACGAAGTCGTTAATCATTGACACACTGCATAGGGTGGTCGTCATCGATTTTCGTCGCGACGCCCAAGTGTGTCATACTTTATCTCTGTGGCGCGCGTATTTTCCATCCTTGAGCGTTTCGATTTTGCGGGAGCTAATCGTAACCCTAAACTTGAATATCAAGATATAAAATTAAATCGAAATATTCGGAGTAACATGTAGTTGTGTTTTTGTATTCTAGTCAGTTTCACTACTATCATCAATCCAGCAAGATAGAAACGAATTTCGACGACTGCGCGCCATTTTCGAAAACATAGTTTCGAAAAAAAAACGCGTTTAAACAGGCTGTAACTTCTTAATTTTTGGGAATTCGAGTCTCAAATGTTCAGATCATATTTTTGAAATGTTGTACCTTCGATTTATCTAACAAACATTTATTGAGAATCCCCCCTTAAGTATTCTGATTTCGCGGGAGCAACGTTGCCGCGCAGCCGCCTGGTTTTTCGCCACATCCTCGAGAGGAACCGGAAGATGGGACAGAGATCGGATTGCAATTATCCGACATTGACTGTTTTCCGGGTGGCGCATTTATTTTTAATCGGCCATTGTACACGGGTTTACGTGGATGACGTCAAGCAGCCTAGGCGTGGATGTTGCGCTTCTGTACACTTCGGCAAACCGCCAGTGTATACTGGTGATCGATCGATCACCCTCCCCTCTCGTCGTTCTCGATCGTACCTAAGTAAATAATTCTCTCTCTCCACCCTTCCACTGAGCAACCACAGCTTAGAAATTTCTGCTGCGGGCTTCGATCATTCGTTCGACCGATATTTTGCATCACTAGATGGCCCCGTTTTGAAAGCCCCGTTCAAATGACTGGCAGGCTTCGTCATTCCTAAGGATCTTCTCATGTTAGGAGGCTTCTTTTGGAAACTTTACAACGAACAGACTCTGACTTTTGAAGTTTCATACATTTCCAAAGCGTATATCCGAAAATCGTGTAAGGTGGATTATATGTGTTCCCTGAAATTATTAACCTTCGTGGAGGATCCTCTATTCTCGGAGGTAGCAGATAGGCTTCTTTTTGGAAACCTTGTTGAGGAACATCAAACATTTGGGAACTCATAAATTTTGAAACTTTGCACATTTTCTCTCCATATTTCCAAAAATATGTGGAACATAAAGATGATTTAAGTGTTTTTTACAGTCATTACGCCCTTCAGAGGATCCTCCATCCTCGGTGGCAGCAAGATAAGGGAATTGAGGAACTTTTTTGAGATACAAACTATGAGCCTGATAAATTTAAAACTTTATACATTTACTCTCTATATTTTTCAGAGTTGTTAATCCTTTGCAACTGGATTTTGTTTATTAATGAACTGCATTTTGTGATAAAACATTCCTGTCTGAATACAGGCATCTTATTCCAGTAAAAGATAGAGAAAACAAATAGTTATCTTTAAAGCAAAATCTAGAAACCATACATTTTTTTTTAAAATAATACATATAACAAGTTGGATAAAGAATAAGAATTATGTTATCATTATCGTTACATTCATTTCGAGCAGCTTTGCTACCCCAAAAAGACTGAATAACACGCATTCGTACAAAAAAGTAAAGGTGGTCTTATTTCCTAACAAAAGAAACTATTCCGACGCTTTTAATTATTGTAATTGATTGGCAGCTGAAAACAAATTTTCTGTCAGCCACTTCCAACTGGATTCAGTGATCGCTATCGCAATGAACACCTTGTATATCGTATTGTGTTGTTGTCAACGCGTAATAACTAACAATCTACCCAAAAACTATCGATAGAGTCGTCCCCAAGAATACGCTTCATCATCGGGTAGCGGCGTCAACGCACGCGCGGATAACTTTTTCACCCGCTGCTGCGCGCCGCGTCTCGTCGGGCAGCACGTTCGAACAATGATCTCGTGGGCTGTTTCGATGTTCGCCGGAGCATAAACCGGTCTTTAAGGGACGCGAACGAGGATCGTCCGAAGTCCGAACCCGTGTCACTTGTTCCCTGTCCTAGTGCCCACCACTTATTTTCGCTCCGTCCGAATCCAACGGCAAAAGTTAGGTACTGGCCGGCAGCCAGCGGCGCGTTGTCTTTTTACAATCGCGTTGTTCATTTTGGACGGATCTCCGTTTTGATAAAATAACGAGTGACTTGCATACGGAGCCGGCGGACCCTCGAATTAATGTTGTGCACGCCCCTTGTTGTTTCCTGAAGACGATCTCGGACCTCGGAGGAAACAACTTTCGGTTTGAACCTCACTAGACTACGAATCTAAATATCGTTTATTTATCTTCATTTCATAGTAATACACTGTACATATTATTCATAGAGATAGGAATTAAACGGAATTTTAATTTGTGTCAAGGATTTTTATAGATTCAAGGTTAAACACTATTGTATTCCATTGTAGTTTTTGTTTTATTATACTTTACAGACTCATATAGATGTATCCAATACGTGGTTTAACTACTATTCTTAATTTTTAAAGATTTATATGGGAAATTTTCTTTGAAAAGGAACAGCTGACTAACTATTGTATCATATTTTATCTGACAGACTATCGCTAATTTATTGAACTATTTATCGTTTTTCATTATATTTAATGATCTTGTGTATTTAGTTTAGTTCAGATTTTTTTTAAATTTAAAGAACGTCAGTGCGTGTTTATGTACGTTTGAAAGTAGTAATGAAATCGACCGTCAGATGGCACATGAAGTGGAAGACGTTTTCTTTTGACGTTACTGTGCATTCTATGCTTGAATAAGAGCATTTTATTCGTTGCTTGAAAAGAATCCGAATGGAATAAGGAATTTTCAGAGAAATCATTTTCAATCTGGAACTGTTCGTTTTATTTGTAGAAATTGACAAACAACATAGATTTCTTTATCATATGTAACCTATATTGTATATATCCATTAAATTACATAACTTCCATAAAATGCAGTTGAGGAACCGCCTTAATACTAATAACGCCTTAGCGATTACAAATCAGCGCGCTCCAAACACTTTCATTCTTTCGTACGTAACTGTCATAGAATTTTAAATGCATGTGCTCCAATAATCTCTGTATTTTGCGAGTTATACAAATAATGACCTTAAATAATGACTTAATAATGACCTTCATTTATGAAACCAATGTTACTATCACCTGTTGAATATTAATATTCAAAATAAATGAATTCAATTCTAAAATAAATGAAAACAACAAGATGTAGTGTTGTGTTAAGTACGAAAATTTAACGGTAACAATTAGACCACGGATGTTTATGCCAATATAAATATTTATGGACTGATTTACAGAAAGTGGATTCAAACATAAATTTCTCTACTCTGTTGAAAATTCTACTAATTATAATAAAATTAAAATCTCAATAAACGTCATCAAACTTTTAACTGTACTAATGTCTGAATGATCAGAATAATAACAAAATTTTGTAATTTCTGCATCAATGAATGTTTGTGTGTAATTTAACACAAAATTATTTGTTTTCATTGGCCAGTGATGTAATCGTTTTCACAATATGTAATTAAAATAATTATTAAAATGAAGTACTAGCAGTGAATGGATAGAGTGGTTATACTAAGTGGTACATATTATATATAATGATTCGTTTTGCATTGTTTCTTATTTTATATTTCCTTGTAATTGATGGAAATGAAATATTGAAAGATCTAGGAGAGAAACAGTATAAGATGATAAGAGGTAGTTCATATGCACTAGAATTTCTAAAAATATATTTGGACCGTATTATTTAATATTATAATTCTTTCAGCTAAATCTTCTGTATCACAGCATGGTACATGTTGGCATAATGCTATTAATACAATGAAAATTAACTGTAATAATTTAAGAGATGTAGAGCATTCTCTCCTTGCTCTGAGGTTGACGTATTGTTTTTTAGAAGATTCAGGACATGAAACTTATGATTGCCATCTCAGTAGCTCAGAAACCGAAAGACGGTAAACTGTTGTGTTACCTAGTAATAGATGCATTTACCTGGTTCAGTTTTAATCTAATACACATATTAAATTTGCAGGGAATGCATCAATAATATGTCTGACAGGGCATTTAATGTTTATAATGAATTTTATATACACACTACGCACATGTGCTTTTATCTGAATTATGAAGCTTGGCAAGCTGAAACTGATAACACCATTAAACAGTAAGTTTTGTGTGACTAACTAAAGTCTATTCTAAATTAATTTATATTTAATGTGAATAGATTGTATGAAGCTTCTTCAAGAATGAAAGATCAATTATTAGAAGCTTCAGAAATGCAAGGAGTTATGTTAGAAAGTCAAAAGGAAAGTTTAAAAATACAAAGTGAACTTTTAGACCATGGGAAAGAACTTGGTACAATATTGAAATCTTCATCCGAGAGTGTTAACAATATGGTAAAAGATTTTAAGTAAGTTTCTAGGGTATATTATGAGTTAGTCGTATAAAAAATTTGATTAGTTTACACAGATGGAGCTTTATTTTATCTGTATATATGTTGCATGTGGAGATACAATTTTCACATACTCATCAACTATAGTATGTATTTTTAAAATAAATCCAGGTTCATCATTCCAATGAATTATTAGAAAAATTTGATATTACTATTAATTACAGAGAAACGGCAAAAAATCAAATGGAATTATTGTTCGAGATCTTTTCATACTTACGTACTTTTCAAAACTGGATTATAGGTGAAGTTTCATGGTTTCAGTCTATCATGTATTATACAGTTAGTTGCATTTTGTGTGCACTGTTTAGTTCTTCTAAAAGAACAGTGGATGCTAGAATAACACTCTTCACAATTTTAAGCATGAATGTGATAGTAGAACGAATGTTAGTTCAATATTATGGTAACAGTATACCACATTCTGATGACAGTAAGGTAACATGAAACTAATTTTATGAATATGTTATTAATTTATTACTTCAAATTCGAGGAAGACAGTTATTATTTGATTTAGGAAAACTTGATAAGTACAACATGGATGTACAGAAAAATTGCCCTTACTTTATGTATAATTACATTGTTCTACATATACTACAATTATAAAGATGAACAAGTGGAAAATTATAAAGTATTAAAACGTATTGAACATCAGTTAAATTCTATCCAAGAAGTTACACCCATTTGTACTACTGATCATTCACCACGTATGTACAACCATGTCTAATCAATATCTGTTATAGGATAGAAATTCAAACTACCTTTATTTATTTCTATACACAGGTTGTTCTACCAGATTGGCTCTCAAACGTTTGCAGTCACAATTAAATAAACAAAATAAAATGGAAAATTTTTCATAATTTACTTTATGTATTAAATTATTGCACTTAATTTATTAAAATGTATTGAAGAAGATAAGTGAAAGATCAAGAATTTAATTGTAAAAAAGGATTGTAACTTTTACTACAATATATTTATATACACAATGACCTTACAGTACATACTTTGGTAATACTTAAACATTTGGATATTTATGCAGAAGATAAGTAACTTGAGTATTTGTGAAAGTCTTAGCATTAGGCTTTGGAACTTCCAGTTTTCGTGCCACTTTCTGCTCTTCCATATGTTCTGTATAATTCTTCATGCATTCTTGCAAGCTTTTAATTTGGTTACCGCATAGCTGATTTTCAAAATTACTATCATTTAAGCACGTAAAAAGTAATGTCATTTCGTATAAACAATTCTGTTCTGAAATTTATAAAAAAATATTAAAAAAGATCGTGATACATTGTACAATATAAAACTTACCAGACGACTTACGCGCCGCTCCCTGGACAGAATCTTTTAACGATAAAGGAAGATATTCTCTAAATGGTACTTTTTTTATATCTTGGGCTACCCTTGCGTGCTGTCTTCTACGCCATAAATAATGCGTAAGTTTCATTTTCTAAGGGGAAAAAAGAGTCAACGATTAAGGATTTCAGGTTAAGAAAGAAAAAACTGAAATTTGAAAATAAGGCACAATCATTAACATGATTCTGTTGGTTACTGTAAAATACTACTTAAGTGAAGAACACTACTTAAAATATTTTTTTACTAAATAAGTTACTTACACGGCCGTATAACTTTTGCAATAGTTACATCGAATAATGTTTTTTTGGTAGATGGCGCTGTCATCGACACTTAAATGTGTTCAGTAAATGAAAGGTCAATTGTTTGTAGTCAGCAATTGTTTGACAACGTTAACAAATACGAAATGATTGTAAAGCATTACTTATAGTATTCTAGAAATATGTAAAATATTATTTTCTCATAATATCAATTTACTTGTATATCAATTTACTAGTATACATGAAAATTATACAATAAATAATTTAGAAAGAATTTTCAAAAGAGTTACAGCAATTTAAATGAATTATCAAATATTATATGTAAGATGGAATCGTGAGTCTAATTCGCAAAATAAATGAAAGTATGGGTAACTATTCATCATCGGTTGATCGAAATGGAGGGGAAGCGAAGACTTCGATGAAATGAAGGGGTCTTTATGAACAGTATTTCAAAATGCCAGTTGATCAGTGTGGATCAGTGTCGCGTATACCATCGCCTTGCTTTTTTATGCTTAACCTCAACTTTGTACATAGGAGGAAGTGATACATGATAGTGTCATTTTGACGGTAGTTGAAATACTTCTTAAAACATATACATAGCGTGTTGTCGCTGAAGACGTAGGATTGCTTTGAAATAATCTATAAGGTTGTCAATCAAATATTTGATCTTCCATATTCTTCTACCTACATCTACGATGGAGAGAGTTAGGAGTAAGTTCAATATTTTTTAACATTAACAATTTATCATTAGACCGCGGATTTTATGTATTCATAATTGACGCAGTATGCAAAATTCAAAAAAGAAAAGAAATCATGATGTTTAAGACCGTTTATTTTTGTTTCTAATAAAACTATTAATAAAGAACACAAACCTCTAATCAGACCCGATTTTTAAACTTTGTTTTAAAAAAATGTAATTTTACATAAACATCCGCAGACTGTTTATTACATTCGCAATATTTCTTCATTATTTACTTTTGGTTAATTTATTTCTATCAAGCTTTCAAAACTTGTACTATGCTTACTATTATTTACTCTTTATATTATGTATATATCTTTGTTCACTTACATGAATTTCTAATACATATATCGACAACTTTTGCGGTGAATGTTTTCTCACTGTATGTATATAGTTCGTGAGTTATATTTACATGATAAAATCATACGATGAATTTTTCGTCCGTTTGATAAAAAACAAATGAGATAACGTTAACACTTGTCTCACGATTTATCGCGAATCATTTAAAACTGAACTTCTTACCAACATGCCGACTACGCAATAGAAAGCACCCTTAAAGAAAATTTGTACGTAAAATAACATATTTAATTCAAGATTAATTTGAATATCTTTCTCGAATTTGTTTTTCAGTCCGTTAAGTAATGATACATCATTTTTAATTCTCATATTCTAGATCTTTCTCATATTCTAGATTCTTCATAGATTCCAATCAAAAAAGGAAAATTTTATTTGAATAAGTTTTGATGTCAATTTTACTTATTACTCTAAATAAATTTTACCAAATTCTAGCTCCTATTTTATACTTATTTTCTCGAATTTATATAATCATTATGTAAAAGAATATGGACGCGATTGTATTTGCGTTTTTGTGCACGTTACACTTTTACGTTTATCTGCTTGCGTAATACTTCCAGTGCTACAAGCGATTCATTGTAGGCCAATTTGAAAAGTAGAACAACTGCTAGACATTCACTTTATTTAGGACTGACTTTACTACATAATTGAAAAATTGAATTTGTTCGTTCACGGAAAGATAATTTTTAGTGCTATTAACTTTTTTAGCACATTTCAGTCTGCAAATCAAATGTAGATAAAATTATTCAATTTAATACAACAACCGATAAAGAAGATCACTTACTACCAACGTCAGGTCTGGCGTAAATGAAGCATGTTCAAAGAAAAGTATATACACACATATACACGTATAATACTGTTAAGTACCTACTGATTCCCTGTGTGTGCGAAACCACGACGCCACACCGTTCTGCGTTTGCGCGAGGAACAATCACCTTCTTCATTGCCAAAGTGAACGAATCAATTCCTTCATTTTAACGCAAGCAACGGATGTGAACGGCGCGTTCTGTGTACAGTCCTGATACAAAAATAATATAACAGTATACATATTTTAAATCATTACTACTATAGAGAAACAAAATTAATCCACGGAACACGGTCCGTCGAAGCCGACGGATGGGTCAGTCGTGACTCACAACAAAATGTCACAAATAATACAAATGTCACAATAAATGTGACCCGGCTATAGGAACGCTTAGTGTTAAAAAATAGAGTTAAAGAAATATTCGAGTAAGTTTCAAATATGACACTGACTATTTTGAATATTATTCGCATGAATAATTTTTCATTTTATTCATTTCCTCTCTGCAAACGTCTTTGGGTTGATAAAATGAATTTTCTCAAATTTTCTCGCTTTTTTTAGTCCAACATTAGTAACAAATAAAAATGTTATCAGAAAGATTGTAGTCGACGGAAAGTAACCCTAGATATAAGAGTCTGAAAGTTTAGATAGGGAAGAGCGACGAATGTGCGTAGACTAAGTACTTACGATCATCGAGAGTGCGTCGATGTTACGTACGAATCACGCGACTCGAATGGATCGCGTGATGCTGTTGATAAGTCCCACGCGGGAAAGTACATATTATTTGTACACGCGTGTTTATAATCATACCCCGATTCTCGAAATTTATACACATCATTTATGTCAATATACAATATTCTTACAGAAAGCAAAGGAATTATGTGTTTACCACGAGTGTGTATTTAGTGTAAAGGTTAAATATTGGTAACAACAAAACAGCATTCGACTATGAAAATGTTGAAAATATTTTTTTTCTGCACTGTAATTATTTTTTTTCTTCCACAGAATATATGAATATTCTTTACCGTGGTTTGTATTTGTTTGGTCGAATATTGTACGCCAGGGATAGTTTATTTTCTGTAAATACATATGTAATGATGCGGCTAAAGGTCAAGTACATGCATCGATGACTCCTTTAAGTAGATTTAAATGTCATTCCATTTTCAGAGGATTCCGTCGACGGTTTCCTTCGTGTCTCTATTTACAATGTGTACACCGATCTAACGTCACTAAATCGAATCAGCCATTAGCAACACAAAGTTGCAATTCAGAAGCAGGTTTTATGGGTACGTTATCTCGGTGTACAAAGTTTACGTGTATCCGAGCTAATCAGCTAATGGCGCTCAAGATCTGTCTGTATTGGTTATCTCTGTATTATCATTAGACTTTCGCAAAACAATGAACTTATCAGTATTTACAATATTATTCATTTTTGAGCGATTTAAACTTTTAGTACATCGAATTTAAGACACTCTAAATAAATATTATCGAACTGTTACAACGTCTGTATTGTACAACATTTTCCAGGTATATATAGAGTTACTACAAATGCAAAAACATTCGCAATTACGTCCTTATATTTACAATATTATTCATTATACTATATTTAGATTGTCTTTAGGCGATAAAACCTAATATTTCTGGATTAAATCTTCACGTAAATGAATAGAAAATCGATAAATAAAAACAGATAGTCGAACAATAATACCAAGTAACTTGAGTTTTACCCCTTATAACAGGTTATAACAGGTTATAAAGTATAAATCGAGCAAACTCGATTTCACGTACCTCATCCATTTAGTCGAATTGACGATTAAATGCGTATTCATGCATGTCACAAACATTAACCGCTTAACAAACGTCCCGTATAATTGCACGTGAATGGCAACGATCGTTTCTGTGTTCTACGATAACAAAGTTACGGTAATTACCGAACCGTGACACGAAGAGGTGAAGATTCGTGTCAGAAACGTGATTGGAACACGCGATTGTAACAAGATATCTCGAGAGAAGATGGTCTCCTTGATCCTTACCGTAGTATTTGTTACTCTGCAATTTACCTTACTTTTGCATCTAAACTATCTAAGTTAGTTCATAATAAAATTTGGCAGTCCAATATCGAAAAATGTGAAATTGTAGTGGTTTGTCTGATCTGGTAGCTATGTTGTACCATTTTTAGCCAAATTTTCGAACAGTCGAGGGAGAAGGGTTTAGATAGACGAGGAAGACCAAATGAAGTAAAACATGTGAACAAAAATGTAGATAAATTTTATATCGTAAAATGAAAAGAAGAAAATAATTTAAGGAAAATGGAGGCAGATTTTAAATCTGAAATTGTATTATGATAGAGGGAGATTAACCTCTTGAGGGATACTGCCACGTATGTGTACGTTTAGTTTTTCTTTCATTCATACATCATTCCGAAACTGTAATTAAATATTCACTAGGAAGTTCCTTAACAAAAAAGGATTTTCTACCAATTGATTGTCGCTCAAATTTATAAATATATTTCAACTAAATACAACCGAAGAATAAGAAAAATATTCTTTCTGAAATAAAACTACGTTGCCTTCTGGAAATCGTTGTGTATTTATTGTATTTTCGTGTTATCAGCGGTCACGTGAGTTTACCCGTCAACAATCCGGCTCGAGAGTCGCGAAACACCTGTCAGCGAAAAATCGAAATCAATTATAATCTTCCGATTCCGCTTGGAGGACCACATTGGCCGACACAAGCATGACATGACTCACGTGTTAACTTGCCGAGTCATTGGCACCCGCGGAAGACTCTGATATGGCCATTTTGCGTGCATTCGTACATAGTCGACCGCTGCGAAGACAATGCCACCGTAACAGCGTAATACGTTCACGTTGAACGCATAAATAAGCGGGCACGAGAGTGTAAGTCGAACAATGTGTGTACGGCGATTGATTGCAAGTAATTCAACGAAAATGGAAAATACGAAAAAACGCAAAAACCGCCAGTCACGTCCTTGTGGAATTATAAAATAATTTGTAATATTTAAAATAATTTGTAAATTTTACATACACCCAACGTGTATTGTACGAGTATTGTACTTATATACTTATCGTAGTTATATAAGTAAACTTCGTAACTCCAGGTTTGGGCTAATTTTACATTTTAGTGTCACTCAAAGCACTCAAAATAAATACATTTTCCTAAATAATTCCGCAACTCCTGTAAATTAAAGAACGTTCGAAAAACCTACTTATTTTCTGTAATTTAATCAGTTCAATTAATTCTAAAGTGTTTTACTGCTCTCCTGTAAAGTTCCGTCAAATGGACTTACGAGTTTTACTTATTAAGGTTACGATATGTGTAGCTTCATCAGGGGATCGAAAGACCCACTGATACAGTATTAGTGTGCCTTCTTTCGACTCTGATGAAGCTATACATATATGTATAGGATGCGACCGAATAACATGTATAAGCGGGTACGAGGTGATTCCTTATGAAAAATAAGAACAAAATATGGAATAAAAATGTGTCATTTAAGTCCTAGTTTTCAAGAAAATCGACTTCAAAAGTTAATCTAAAACACGCGTATTCACCATAGTAGTAAGTAGAAACGGGATGCAATGAACAGACGCGCTAGCTCAGTTCTATTAATTTCAACCAAAGCCTTAAATAAAACAATTTTATTCCATATTTTGTAATTATTTTTTATAGTTGCAATGCTTGCGAAACATTGGGTGTAAATAATTTCACAAGGACATACGGTTTACACCTGAAAACCTCACAGTAAGAACTGTGAAAGCCTCAAATCCTTTATTAAAACCTCCGATTGCTACATATTAATGCGTCGTAAACACCTGACGCTTGAAATCTTACTTCATTTATTCGTTAGCCCTGAATGAGTTATTAATAGACTGCGAGTGTTTAAGGAAATACTGGTACATATATTCAGGAATTAATTGGCAGAAACTGGAATAATGTAATAAATTTTTTTTTCCTCGCTTTTATTGTTCATCGTATAGTAAGCGTTGCTCTGCTCTCTGCTCCAATATAAACACTTCCATTATAAAACAATAGATTGTATTTCTACGTTTTGCTCTTATCAACGCTCTGATCGTTTATCGCAGCTCCAACATAAACATATCCTTAGTCCCATTTCGTTCGATGAACACAATCACCGAACTGTTTATGCAGCGACCACGCCAGAATATAGTCTTGTGTGCATTTGTATGTTGGTGACATTTCATTCTGGGTTACTACTGACCCAGTCACCGGTTCTGGTGATTCATACTCCGAGGGTTAACAGTACCATCCGAATTTCGCTTATAACGCATAAAATAAATTACATTAATTAATCGGTAAAATGTAATGAAGTAACAACCAGACTTGGGACTTTGTGCATGTACACTGGGTACAATTACATAAACTTTAGTACGGTGAAATGTTTCTCTTGGAAGGAAGGGGAGTGGGGCAAAATCCAATTCATTCCGTCCAGAGGGAGACAAGTACCCCCTTGCCCCCCTTGGCTACGCCCATGAATAGGTATTACGCCCTGTTCGACAAAACGTCTCATTATTGTTTTTTACGCACACAAGCAAAGATACATCGCTGCAAAACGGTACGTTCGAACCTGGCTCAGTCGTTCGCAAACGCTTCCAAGGTATAAGTGTCATTATTACGTTTCCTTAAAAAGTATAAAAAATTGTTGGTTATCAATGAAACAGTAGTGAGACGTTTTGTCAACCACTGTATATTTACCTGTACCTCATCCAACGTGTCAAGTCAGTATCTGTAAACAAAGGGAGGTAATGACCATATAGGTGGGGGAGGAGACAGAGACAGCTACCAGCCAATAGATGGGCTTAGCACGTGAGTGTTTTCGTTATTTCTACTGACTCGTTTCGTTCGACGGACCATAGTTTTATACGACTTCGTGTGTACTCGTATCGGAGCGTTTTGTATCTTACATCGACGTGGATGATCTTCGGAATGGTCGTTTCTTGCCTATTATTTCTCGCATCAGTGTCGTCCTTGACCATCGAGACAATACGGGCCCCCTACCACATGCTCGTTTCTCAGTTAATATATTGTATACTATGAGATGGTTGCAGAGGTCTATTTTTGATTGCCATTTGTAAACGTCTGTGTTTAATGTCGTTCTGTGATTGTAACCGGAAACACATTGTCGATCTTGCGTGTTGGGATTACGCGAATGTAAATACGCTGTTGTGGTGATTAATAGTTTTTTAATGTTTCGATCATTCATCCATGCGGGATGTCGAAACGGTATATCGTGTGTGAATGTGATAAAAATTCATATGTAGCGTGTCGTTTCGACGATAAACGCACAGTTTGGTTCTAGTAATGGGTATTGTAGGAAGGGAAGGTAACAGTGTGTAATAGTGTGTGCTGAGATTAGAATCTTTTGTGTCATACGACAATGTGAATCAAATTTCTCTATGAAACACAACTGATTATTATTAATCTATTTGATTTATGAACTCCATATCCATTTACTGTAAATATTCTGAGTTAGTAGCATATAATTAATATTGTAAGTAAAATAGCGCAGTAAATAATATTACAATAACCAATATATGATTAATATAAAATTATTACTGTCAGATATTTTTTACAATAATTTCTCATGTTTTGTGTATTTTTTTTTTATTTTATTTGTAAAAAAAACACGAAATCGAGATTAAGCTTTTGTTACTTTACTTGTTAACGAGGTTAATCATTTCGGATATAATATGAGAGTTCATTGTTTTGTTAATAATCAGTAAATGCATCGTAAAAATATACATTTACTTTAATAACTCTGTGGACAATTTGCAAGTATCAGACCGTGTGTTTTAGGTCTATTTTATGAGTTAAGTTTAAAATAAATGTAAAAATATACGATGTAGTTATATAATGTAGATGGTAAAATTAATAATTCGGGTGAATATTTAAAAATTTTTTATATCGCGAACTGCGTTTGCTTAAGTAATGCAAACTCAGCGTAATTATGCAGAAAATCACCTTGGGTAGCACAACAAAGTTAAAAGGTAGCCTCATTTTGTGCAGTAATGTTTCTGTTGAAATCAAGCAGATAGTGAGACCAAAGTAATTGTACAAACATCCTGAAGACTGTCTAACAGAAAACACATAAAATATCAAATGATTTTCTTGACTTTTTTTGGTTGTTTTGAACAAAGTAACAACGTGAAATGTTTTCAAAACGTCTAGTATTCTACTTTCATGACCATAGTCGCAGTAGATCAATTTTTTAAGTGTACATTCGAAAGTGTGTATGGCTCAAAACAGTTTATGTAAACAGCATGATTATTGCAGACAATGTTATTCACACGCGAAAGGTCGTATAAGTTTTAATCAATTCGCATCGAAAATATTCTGAATATCTCCTTCTCGTTTAACATATATGAAAAGTTAACTGGGTATTATTCGGACACGTTTTTGTTAATTGAAACGAGTCGCCGTCGAGCAAGAATTAGAAATTTGAGGAAAAAAATTCGGTTGCGTCATCGGACTGCTCTTTACGAAAACTATTCGTGTCCCTTCACCATGGAAAACAGAACAGGCACGAAAGGCCTATTAGAACGACAACAAAATATTAACGAAAAACGTCGTTTCAATTACAGTTAAATTAAAAATTAAACTACTATAATTAAACCGGTAAAAGATTTGTAAAATCATTAATCTACTAATAAAATTAATTAGTTTCTACGTCATAGAATTATCTTTCTCCAATCAGATTCATTTGAATGTGTATAATGTAATATTAGGTCCACTGAATGGTCCGCCATTTTGTATGCAACAGCCCAATATTTCGTAATTTCGATGATCAGGAAAAACTCGAGAAAAGAATTTTCTGCCAGAATGACGCACACGCACATTAAAAAGGAAGGTCACCGAAGTCGTTCGTTGTTTAAAATTCACCAAAGTATTATTCATGAAGTTCAATGGCTAGGGCCCACGGTCACTGATACGGTTGCGTGTGGTAAAACGTTTTTGTGTTTGTCATTATTAATTAACAATAAAGCTTACAAGAAGGGGAACACAAATCGTTATTATCGCGTTCTTTTACGGAAGGTCATCGAAGATAAATAACAAAATTAACATTACAGAAAATTTAAATGAATAAAAACGAATTTAATAAAAACTTACTGAGGGTTTTAAACATGTATTCGCTGATATATGTATGTATACAGTATATGGAAAACTAGAAATAAAATATATGTTTAGTGTCAGAACACAATTCCGTTATCGTTGACTTCGATAACGGTGTGTGGAAAATTCATACAAATTCGTAATCCATTGATGGAAATAAAGGAAAGCAGGATTTACCGATTTCAATTCTATAAATAATCCATTGATTCTTGGAACGATCCGTTAATCCTTAAATAGTCTGTTGTTATCGGAGACTTTATTTTATGATGCAATAAACATTGATTGAATCCTTACATGAAAAAAATATCAGAGTCAGCGAAGTGATTTATTCTATGTACAATAACTCTACACCTCCTTCTTGCGAATTAAAAAAACTGATACAAAAAGAATTAATTCCTTAACTCAGTCAATAAAAAAAAAAAACGTTTCTTCTCGTAATTTTTACTCCACCACATCTCCACATGCCAAATTCGAAAAACTAATAAAAAATAAGGTTAGCTCATTTCCAACCACAGTGTATAAACAAGCCTCTTATCAGCGTACAGAAACAACGAAAAGGTACAGTAGAAGAATAAAGTATCCATACACTTATTTTTAGTGTAACAATAGGTTAAAAAAGATTGTCATCGTTCTATACTTCGATACAAAGCTACCTTGTACTAGTATATTTAAAAGCAAAGAATACCTAATCTAATGTTACATTGAAAATAGTATGATCAGTTCGTAATAAGCGTCACTAATAGTGTATGAATCCTTTATCTTCAATTGTATCTTCGGCTGTTTATTATCGAAGATGAGTGAGAAATAATTATAAGATTACCTCGGAACGTTCCAATGGGCAGTTCGACGGATTCACAGATACGTATCCGTGCAGGTGTGCTTTCCGTGCGGGACCGTCGGCATCTCTTTGAAGATGTGAAATACTCTGTGGCAGTGATTCCCCCGATCAGTCGGTGTCGAACGGTGGAAGCGATCGGTTCATCCGTGTCGGTGTCGTTTCACGTCTGCTCTCTCGCGGCTACGCTCGCTTCCGGGAAAGCTAATCCTCACGGGTCCCGACTTTTCCTTCGACTGTGCAGAGTCTTCCGTTCTAATCATGTTGAGTAAGTTTTTTCGGTGATTGTGAAATTTAGTTCTTTATTTTCCAACGATCGAATCATTATCGGTGGCCGTTTTTCTCCGCCTCGTGCTACCGATTGCGTATTGCGTCCCCTCGAACGCCAGATTTTTTAGATTGTGCGATAACAGAACCGAGGACGATTTTTCTTCGATGATTATAATCTTTGAAATATTAAGTATTGGGTAACTGCGAATGTCTCGATACGATTCTTTTAAGAGATTAAAGAAAATTAATTATTCCTATTTCGGAATAGTAACATACATACGGATTTTATGGAGTTGTGTCTATATTTAGTAAGGATACACATAGTTTTGGCTAATACATTCACCGTAAGATGTATTTCGTCTGACTTTTCGTTCACACCAATGGGATTATTGTAAATTAAAATGACAGTCGCCCGTGACCGACAGGGCAAAGTCAGTGTTAGTTACTGGTGACCGCCTTGGAAATGAGTGTGTTAATAAACGAATTTTTTTTCTTGAGATTGGAAATTTTTGGAAATCGAAATTTGCATAAACATCCGTAGTCCAATTGTTTTTAGTAAATCAATATCTTTTTTTATTTTCAAAGATCTTTCAGCGTGCATAATGATTATGTTTATCCCCGTTTGTAAGACTTTAGTGTTATAATCGTGTCGAGACGATTGCTATGCTCCAATACGAAAAAGAAGAGCAAGAATTTTTAGTTTTGTTTCATTTAGTCCGTCGAGTGTGTAGTTCGTTGAAAGACAAATGTGTAGTGCGATCGTAAATGGCTGAAAAGTGTATTGAGTGTATTCTGTGTATCCAATATTTATTCCTTTTTTTTTCAAGCCTGTGAATTTCATGGATCGTTTCGGAGTACGATTTATCGCAATATTTTATCTCTTCTCCTTTTTTTCTATATGATCGTTATCGACGCGATACATTCTCGGTATATTTTTTTCATAAAGCTATTTGTGCTTATACAGTGCCGAGTAAAAAAGTGCCGTGTACCATGATGTGGTCAGTTCTCGGGCGTTACGTAAGATTTGTTGAAGAAGTTGGTTTGAATATGAAGTAACACGTGTTTACCTACATGTGATTCCGCGATGCTCACATGTACAGTCACGCGTAGAGTCACGGAGAAACGGAAATTCAGTAATTCAGCGTCTTTGAATAATAATTTTACCAACCCAAGTTGAATAAGTCGAATTAATTTTTGATGGATCTGTCAGCATTCGTTATAGGAATAAATATAGTTTAGGTTTGATGTGTCCCTTGGCGTAGTCTAGTTCTCCATGAATACTCAAACAGTATTTAGTGCTCGGACCATTTGTGTATGTAGTTCGATTAGTCCCGTTTAATGTCAATTCGTACAAGTACGGGTAGAATGTAAACAAGAGAGCAAAAGTACACTGACGAGAGACCAAGAAACAAATGAAAAATTACGAAAACTGATTTGGACTTTTGAAAATGTTAACGTTTTTCATTGTTATAAAAATTCCATTGTCATACTTGTATCCGCAGAAACGTCTACGGAAGAGAGCCTGCGCTTCATCAGGCAATCCTTGAAGTCGGATGAAATGGACCATCTCGAAGGTATCCACTTCGATGGACTGTACCCTCACGTTTTCGTTACACTTGGCGCGTCCGTAAGTGTTACTTCGTTCACTTTACTATGATAACATATGACAGTTATACGATTAATGTGTTCGGAACATGATAATATTTTGAAGATTTTCTGTTCAATCGGGGGTTTCGTTCCCTGATGTTCTTGGGGTAAATGTGCCGTTCCCCTACGATCCAAGGACGAAAATTATTATATTCGAGGCGATTCAATGTCTGGCTGTATGCCGTTCCTAAACTTTCACTTGTCTCTTTTAAATGAACAGCCCAATAACAAGAGATAGATGAAGATGATCCAAGTGGTCGCCAGCTGTCGCGTAACGTCTCGTTTGTTTAGTAAGATTATTAAGATTCAAGGTCATCCGAAGGTCACAATGTAAACTCTCGAAAAACTTGCAGTTACCATGAAATTCTTAAAGAAACCACAAGAAAATCCGACATTTTACCAGCTATAGTTTGTGAATTATTTTAAAAACTTGCAAAAATTCGTCCGTCCCCAAATATCTGAAAGAATACAGATATACGAATATGTGAATTTAATTCAACCCATTCCACGATGATCGTAGGGCGACTTGGCTAGGAAGAAAATTTACCCGACGCTATGGTGGCTGTTCAGAGACAACCTTTTGCCGAAGACTACAACGTTCTACGGTTTTGCGCGGACCAACATGACCGTGGCCCAATTACGGGAGAAGTGTCATCCGTATATGAAGGTGAAGCCGGGCGAAGAGCAGAAGTACGAAGAGTTCTGGAAACTGAATCATTACGTGGCCGGAACGTACGACTCGCAGAAACCGTTCGAGGTACTGAACAATGAGCTGAAGAAACACGAGCAGGGCTACCAGAATGCTCATCGGTTGTTCTATTTGGCCTTGCCACCGAGCGTGTTCGAGACCGTCACCGTGCACATCAGAAACGTGTGCATGGGCCAGAAGTGAGTTCACAGTGTATATGTATATTCGGTATATTCGTTAGAACTATCCACTTTAACCCGCAGAGGACTCTAGGCTAAATGTATTATAGATCCAGATTTATATCGAGACATTCGATATGGGAATTCAATGCGCATTGAAATGTATACAGTAAATCATCGGTGAGTGTTCGAAGGATCCTCGGCAATGAACATTAAATATGCCATAAACCAATGGGAACATGCGACCGAAACAAATATCATTGGCTTCGGAATTTCCAGCTCGATTATTGTGCTAAGCCTCATTAAAAAGTCAACATTTCACCTGAAAACCTCACCTTGTTAGTGCCGAGAAGCTTTCGAACACCTATCGGGGATTTACTGTATATATATTTTTTCTACTTTTTATATAATGCGAAACTCTACCTCGAATGTTGGCATTTATATCCTCGCTTCCGGTTGCAGAGGTTGGACCAGGGTGATCATAGAAAAACCGTTTGGAAGAGATGCGATCACGTCACAGCGTCTGTCTGATCATCTGGCGTCGTTATTCAAAGAGGAACAAATTTACCGTATCGATCATTACTTGGGAAAAGAGATGGTGCAAAATTTAATGACCATCAGGTTCGGTAACAGAATATTCAGCCCGACCTGGAACAGGGACAACGTGGCCTCCGTGCAGATTACGTTCAAAGAACCGTTCGGCACACAAGGGAGGGGTGGTTACTTCGACGAATTTGGGATCATAAGGGATGTAATGCAGAACCACCTGTTGCAAATATTGTCGTTGGTTGCAATGGAGAAGCCCGCGTCCTGCCATCCGGACGATATACGAAACGAGAAGGTTAAAGTCCTGAAATCCATGAAACCATTGGAACTGGAGGACGTGGTACTAGGTCAATATGTCGGGGAACCTAATTCTGACGATCCTGAAGCACGATTGGGATATTTGGATGATCCTACTGTACCACCCGGTTCCAATACCCCAACGTTCGCTTTGGCCGTTCTGAGAATTAATAACGAACGGTGGGATGGCGTGCCCTTTATTCTTAGGTGTGGGAAAGGTGAATATTATGATGCGTAGTTTGTTATACCTACTAGAGAGCACCGATAGAAGTATCTCTGTCACGATACTCTTCTAAGCGCTACCATCGTTAGTTAGAATTCTGCGTAGTTTATCTCTTTTAGTTCTAGATATTAACCCCAGAATCGCACCCTGCTAACCAGTTATGTACAAGTTTCGAGCAAATTGCCAGCAATAAATGGCAAAAGTTGTTTAAAAAATCATAGCCATTTGATTCCGCATTTGACTTGGGTTTTGCAGGCACCGACAGACTAATCTGATGTGCATAGTTATTATTCTTGGCTTTGAGATTCCTCATTGGTGCTCTGTAGGGCAGTTTGATCGAATTGTTAATATTTAACTAGATTGTTCATTGCTCACCAGCGTTAAATGAACGAAAGGCGGAAGTTAGAGTGCAGTATCGAGACGTACCTGGTGATATATTTGATGGAAAGGCCAAAAGAAACGAGTTAGTGATAAGGGTACAACCTGGCGAAGCTTTGTACATTAAAATGATGACCAAATCACCAGGTATTACGTTTGACATGGAGGAAACTGAATTGGATCTTACTTACGGTTGTAGATACAAGGTGAGAACAAGTACTTAGGTAGCTTTATCAAATACCAAAAGAAAGAATGTTATAATACACTTTACAATACAATAAATTGGTCGATATGTTAATATGTGCTGTAGGATCTCAAACTGCCCGATGCATACGAACGATTGATCTTGGACGTATTTTGTGGATCACAAATGCACTTTGTTCGTAGCGACGAACTTTCAGAAGCGTGGAGAATCTTCACGCCATTGCTTCATCGAATAGAGAATGAACAAATTAAACCTATCCCGTACAAGTAAGTTTGTATAGATTTAGAATAAGTACATAGTACTACGAGCATAGAAATGTATAATGCGCAGTTACTTTCATATTTATTTATATTGTATCACTGTAATTTCAGATACGGATCTCGTGGGCCTAAGGAAGCCGATGAAATGGCAAAATTGAATAATTTTGCTTATTACGGGTCTTATAAATGGGTGAAACCGTAATGCTTAGGACTTCTTTGATATATCGAACATTACTAACATCACAAACCACAGAAATCTGTACTACAATTTATTATCTGTGATCATAGCATTCCATATTTTTATACCAATATACATGGTACTTACACGGCATTTTATATACGTATATATTAATTTATATAACTAATTTATTGATAAATCAAGGTTTTCACTCGTTAAAACAGTTTTTAAATGTAGAGTGGTAAAAGTATGCAGTTTAAGTAATAAAAAAAAACAAATGTAAGTGCCTCTAAATAAAATATGACCGTTCGATTTGTATATTTCTATAATCTCAGGTAATTTATATTAATTGTTATGAAATCTTTTATATATTTTTTATACAAAGAATGTAATTTTGTATGCGACAACTTAATGAACAATTTAAGAATTACAATTCGTACATAGAGCATAATTTTATTTACTTCGGACGATTTAAATATGTCGTCAATCACATAAAATATTCTGTACAGTATACGAAGTATCATAAATTATACATAATTAGTACGTCGCCCTACAAACGTTTAATTATACATTACAATAAATAAATAAGAGAAAGTTGAACTATTCAGTCTATAAGTTCTATGCTCTACATTTTACATGTTTACTTATCCAATGAGGTAAAATGCGACGATTAAAAAGTATCGGCTATTTGCTTCATGGATAATTGAATTAATTAATTTTTATAAGACTGTATCTGTTATTCAGCTTCCTCTCTCTCTCTCTTGCGTTAAGACAGTTAAGAGATCAACTGAACACAAAGACAGAGGTCAGACACACGTTACTGCCACATGATGAACGGAACAAATGTTTAATATATAAAATTAGCAAAGTTTTCTTAAAGAAAAATACAGTTACAACTAAATTGCTCTATCGTATATCTTGACACTCGTATTTTTTGTTTTTTTTTGTAGATATTATTGTAAAGTTTATCATTGTGTATATTACCACTGTAACAATGGAAAAATTGGGTACATATAAAAATGATATAAAATACAGGAAGGCTGAGTTGGTATGCAATTTTCGGAATACTTATTACATTATTGAAACTTAATTTACAGAAACAGATAAATTGTGAACAGTGTGAATGATGTATATATATATATATATATGTATATATATATAGATCCGAATAAATTTATCCTAGTTCATCGTAAATACGTAAGAGGCGATTATATATTCACTTACAACTATGTAATCATAAAATATTGCTACAAGTAATAATCATTGCACAAATTAAATACACACAAACAAATATAAAAAGAATAGATTCACAATAATCTTTTCAATGAATGTCTGCTCGATTAGGACCGTGCACAGGTCGAATGTACACAAACCAAATACTAAATCAGTTCTTGGTGCACCGATATGACAATACTTCGTCTTTTTTTTCGTAATCACTTCACGATAATACGTAGTTCGTAAAAATGTCAAAACTTTATTCAGGTTTGTTGTCGAAAATATGATTTTAATGTATTATACTCGTTAAAGTTCACACGATTCTGGATCCAACAACTGGTCCCAGTTAATATTTCTCTCAAATACTTCTTGTTGCAACCACAATTCGTAATGTTGCTTAAACACTTCACTCAACTTAATGTTAGCCCCAAGTACTGATATAACAGATGTGTCAACTGGTTCCATATCTTTGTTCTTCGATGCATTAGAATATCGTCGATTGTTAAATTGGTCGACGCACGTACGTAATTCGCATTCTTCCACTTGGAAATCCCATGGTCGTGCTTCTAAGTCTGGGATATCACAGAATATTATTTTAATATTGTGTTTTAAATGAGTAAACCATTTCACGTTCGCCAAACATGTTGATCAATAATATCGACACTGAGTTTTTTTTGTGTCACATCATATATTTGTAATCATCATTGAAGACAAAACGAGGTATCAAATGTATTTCTATGTCGATACTCTTTTAAGATAGTTTAGCAAAATGTGCGTGGTGGCGAACGTGTTAATAGTTTCAACCGACTGTTATATGTTACTGTAATATGTACAAACTTGGATACTTTTTAAACCTTAAAACTTGTACGTTAATACAGTTACTTTAACAAATAATTTAGTGTCAACATTAAAATTGAAGTGCTCCAAAATTATGAAAACAATACTATGAATAATATATAGTCTTTATTATTCTGTATCTTACCATTGCCGTAAGCCCAATCATCGTTCAAACGATGTCTGACTTTAGCATAAATTACACTGATTGTTTTCATATTGGTCTTCCGCCATTGTCGTCCTAAATACTTAGTTTGCATTTTTAATAATTTCAAGACATATAGTTGCATCATTGCTTGCCGAACTTTTAACGTGCGTTTTAATATAGGCGCAGATTTAAATACGACCAGCATCTGGAGAAAATAAAGAAAGTTAAAGTCTATTACGAAACAGGACAAATTTTAAACAAACATATTATTTACCATTATTCTACTATGCTTCCATTTTGTTAGCTTGTTAAGAATACGTAATAAATTAATACTGGAGAAAATGTTTCTCCAAGAGTATGTTTGGCTGTCCCCAATTTCAAGGCTTTCTACTGTCAACTCTGGTTGATCACCGATAACACACATAGGGAAGTCCAAAATCGGTATACTGTAGAAAAGAAGAGTTAATACACGTCTACAATTCAGGTCAATTAAGAAATATTTTACTCATACACGGGACACGTACACATGCTTAGCTTCAATGTAAGCTATAATATTCTGGTTTAAAAATTTTAAAACGAGTGGTATGCAGTTAGCAAATACTAAATGCTGCGACATAAATTCATACTGATATATGTGGTTTAGTTTGAGGTGCTTTAATAAAAGTAACAAAATCGCAGAAACTGCTTTAACAATGATTTCTTTATGTCTGTTTACATCAATACCGAGTGTCATCGACTGTACAACCGTCATACTGAAACAGGAAACGTAAAAAAAATGAAGATATTTATAAACAAAGAGAAATTTTTGATAACCGATTGAAATTTTTATCCTTACGGCATTTGTCCTGGTAAAACATCGGCCATTATATTTGTACTGTCTGTCTTAGTTTTACTGGTGGGTGCAGCCGCGAGTAAAATTTTTAATAACGCGATCATGTATTGCGGCAGATTTGGTAATATAGCTTGATACAATATTTCCGTCGGTGTTTGACGAATCGGAGGTTCTGGTGTACTCATTGGGTTCCTAGCTATTTCTTCTTCCTTTTGTATTTGGACTTCGGCTAAAGATGTGTACATATGCTAAAAGTATAATAGACCGTTTTATGTTCACATAACTCGTTAGCTGTAAATATAAGATCCGTGGTTTCCTAAATCTGAGATACAACAGAATCTATACTTACTCGTTTCAGTGTATTAACACCTTCGTGTATTGGTTGTGGCAAACCAATCAGACTTTCTCTGTCTCCTTGTAATTTGTAACCAACAAATTTCAGTCTAGACACTTCAAGAAAAGTGTCTACATCCTTTTGTCTGACCTTTGGTGTCCATGGTAAACCTATAAAGATTTTATTATTATTATGTATAATTGTATTACATATGAAAACATATGTAAATGTAACAATATACACACCTTTCACTTTATTAACCGGTGGGGTACTAGGCCTCACTTGTGGTTGGTTATTTTGTTCTTCAAGGTGACAAGCCCGATACCAACTAGAACCATTCATTTCTCCTTCTCCTTCTTTACCATTATTCGCATTACCCATGTCACCAAATTCGTATACCATACCTAACAGTGATTCGTCTAATGATTTTTGTTTCGATAAACATTGCTGAAATAAATTACAAAATATAATTTTACCGATTATACAATCTTTATGTGCAATTAAATATGCAGCGCAACATACTCGTCGATATCTGCTAGTTATCTTCTGACTTTGCATTTCAATTAAGTCTCCCGCATTGCTCGGAGGAGAGCTAGCTCTCATAGTCTTAGCAACTTCTATGGTATCTTCCTGTTCCGTATCAAGACCAGCTTCCTCGCGATACTGCTTTTTCAATTGTCTCAGTGTATCAATACCACCGAGAGACACTAGAATCAGCTTCCATAAAAGTAGAAGTACTTTCTTCATTGGAAAGTGCGGTGCTGTTCCACTGCAGAAGCATGTTACCATACCAAGAAGTTTAACTATCAGCAATTCTTCTCCATACGGATTTATTAGATCTTCTTTGAAAGTTTCAACATTATCTCTATATATACTGTGTTCTAAGTTCTTCATTTCTTCTCTCATCACCTCGGTTATGATATATAAAACAGACAAGATTACTCTTAAATCAATAGAATCGTCAAGACTAACAGTTATTTTCCTCATTGCCGAAGTAGCTGTTGTACTGTTCCTAGGAGACAGAAAATTCACATTTAAGAACAGTGCTATTTTCGATAAGCAGCTGCCCATGCAAAGAGAACAACAGACTCACTCAATTTCAATATTAAGAAGTTCAACAAATGCTGGAAAAACTCCAGCTTCGTATAATAACATTACATTTGTCCTAGTCCAGTCTTGTTGCTCTTTATCAGACTGTACCTCGGCCCAGCATCCCTGAGCTAAATACAAGATACACCTTGCAGCCTTCATTCTCAATTGCTTATTGGAGACCTCTAACTGATCCAATAATTTGTAAATTACTGATTTCTGTTCCATTTCTGTCAAGTTTTGCCACCATGGTCGTAATTTGTAAAACTCCATTTGTTCTTCGAAAGCCTAAGAACGAATGCATCCATAGTTTATTAGTGTTTGGCAAATATAGTATGTGTATCGTGAATAACAATCTATTGGCTATGTATACTGACAGTAAGATTAACATGTAATTCATACTGCTCACTGTAGCTGTATAACTCAGCAATTTCATTAGCATGTGTATCCGCATCATTATAAACAAAGTCCACATCTAGAGATATAGGTGTTTCCTAAAAAAAAAGTTATACTAATTCAATGTTTGTATTCTTAAGTTTACAAACACCAAAGATAGAAATATGTTACACACCATTTTGTGAATATGTAAATTCAACAAGTATTACACGGAAAACTATACCAGATGGTATTTACGAATTGCGTATTTTGGCGAACAGATTGAAACAATCCAGGCATCAAACGGTAGTATGTATTTCTACGATAAAGGTTAGAAATGAGTCGATTCCACGATAAGTAGGAATCGTTTCTTATTTCTACTAGGTTTTTTTTCACTTAATTCTCGAAACATTTACTCACTTCAGTATTAATTATACATGCATGTCCAACTATACGGGAACAATCATGCTTTCTATTTTCATTTACATCCATCGCTAACGTCACATAGCATTTTCTAACAGTGATTGGAGATGCATTGTCCACTGTATCTCTGGCTTCATTAATGAATCAATATTTCTCTTGGCCAATTAAATCATTCAAGTTGTTCTATCTATCGCTGAATTTATATTAACAATGTTTTTTATTTTTTTGTTTGGATCAACGTATCTTTACTCCGTTCGGTTATATTGAAACGTCCTTCCGGCGTATAGGTATGCAATGTCTGTGCCTGTCACTGATTCTTGTTATCAGAGGTGTTATCGTTAGAAGACTAAGTAACCAGTAACCATCCTAAAAAAAAACTAGTCGTATTGTTAGCTAGATTGTCCACAAGAGCATCGTCACATTATTGCAAGTAGGCACACTCCTATCCGTAACAAAATGAACCAATGACGGATTATCATTTTTATAGTAATTTTTTCAGGTTGTTCCCTTACGAGCAAACACGGCTTTCGTCAAGGAAAAAAGTAGCATAGAAGGTCCTCTTACCACTTGGTAAATTTATTTGAAGTACTAAAATAAAAATTAAATCGAATGTTAATTTAGCATAAACTTTAGTAGGTATAATTCCCGGTATCAATCAAAAGGTAGGAAGTCCAATGGCAGAAACCCAGTTTGCACGGATCACAGTGATCATATTTTGCGTTTCTGTGTTTTTAATATAGGTTCCTGAAAATCCATACCACACAATAAGAATGATTAAATTTCAGGATATTCTATGGTTGGTTCGCAGCATAGCATGTATAATAGACTGCGTGTCTTATGGTAGGGATGAAGCGAGACCAAAGGACAGAAATAGCACTGGAGTAACTCCTTTCATGCTCGCACAACGTAGAGGGAAGGGAAAAAGCGACTGGAGGACGATGAGGAGAAGGAATGCTGCACGCATGTAATGTCTTCACTGGTCTCCACTAGAGATGGCGTGAACTGCTACTTGTGAATCACTCGTGATTCGATCACGGTCGTTTCCAATCGCGGTGATTTTTCACAGTGATTCGTGGTTTTTCGTGATCGTTTCTGATTGGTGAAGAAATCTAACAATTCTTTACACGCGACACATTTCACACGCAAGACAATTCGATGAAATGAAGCTTATATTACCTGACGTGTTTATTGGAATGTATGGTCTTAAATATAACTGCATAAATATTGTACAATCCTATATTAATTATAGTTGTCCGGTTCAACAGGTTACTACAGAAACTAACTACTGCCTACGTCTTTTAAACTTGGGCTGTAGTAGTATCTGCTGAAACTGCCATGGTTGCTGGGGTTATTATCTAATTTGTCCACGGGAACACGACAAGCGTCAGTCCCTATTCGACATTTGCACGAGCAACATTCGACCGAGCTACAGAGTTGTAAGAGCAACAGCGATAAAGGATCACGTTTCAAATGTGTACTGACGCAAACCATTTCACTAACGTTCATTGTCCCGTAATCCACATGTAATAACAACAGATTGAATCCGGCAGAGGACTACTGCAAATTATTACACACGTCTACCGTATGCCACCGGTAATCAAAATTTCGGCGTCAAACCTTATGTATGAAACCTTTATGAAGCTTTGAAGACAGTACGGAAGATTTGCAAGTTACAGGAGAGGGAATTATTTGCGGCATATAAGTTACAATATTTTATAAGCCTGAATAATATCTACGCCTACTTTTTTTGAATTTATATATATATCATTACAAGTATATTGTAAAATCATATCGATAAGTAGGATTTAAGTAAAATAAGTATCTTAGGGCACTTTTATTGAATCTATACAAATATTGTTATAAATATATTGTAAAATCATGTATGTAAGTAGTACTTAAGGCAATTGTTGTTAAATTTATAGAAATACTATTGTAAATTGTATATTTTCGTACGATTTTTTCAATAAAAAACAGTCAAATTATGCATATGCGTTATTCATTAATCCCGGCACTATTTCCACTCCTATTCCTAATATCAATTAACCAAAAAATCAATAATAAATAATAAATAATAACAAAATAATTAATTCTAAAACTTTAAGTTTTGGAAAAGTTCTGGAATTAGTTCCAATTTTTGCCACCAAAGTGGTTGGGGCGCCACTAAATGTCCCATAAATTCTCCATTTTTCCCGCGCTTTTTTCAAAATCCAAGATGGCGGAAAAACCTGCACATTTGTGGCGCCCCCACCAATTGGTGGCGGAAATTGGAACTTGGAACAAAAGTTTGAAATACAATACGATGCGCCACGCTACAATACGTCTATTCAATTCAATTGCTCCCTTGCGACTACAATATCATGCTATCCGCGTTCGGCGCAGTGCGTTAATACGGAGGCCAACGAAATATCACTGTAACATTTAAAAAAGTTTCAAAGTTCCATTTATATCCTTGTCCTGTGAAAATGTTCATACTTCCAGCAGCATTCACATTTCAATCAAAGAATTTACAGAATAAGGAAAAGGAATCTAAAGTAATTTTCAGTAGCTCCGTACATCTTTATCTCGAATAATTTTCTAAAACATTCAAAGTACTAGATATTTTTACATTTTGAATCTCATATCGATTTCTAAAATCATCCTAGTTCGATGTAATATAGAACATTGTTTTATGAGATAGATTCGAAGTTCGCAGCCATTAGCTCGATATTGTCATCAGTTTACAGTACTTTACCGATGATAATATCGATTGCCCAGGCCTCACCACGAGGAGGTTGCTGCGAGTGGAGGCCCAAGGCAGGTAGATGGAATCACAAGTTCTACATCTTCCCACATTTCACAATATACCTTATAAATAACTTAAATCTTAACTATGTAATACTATCGGTACTAAAATCCCTCGGCGGATGACTTCTTTCTTGAGCCTAAACCTATAAAAAACTAAGTTCCCTCGTCGGTTGTCTTCGTTCTTCAGCTTAGAACTAATATTATCTTAATATTCGAATTAATACGAATTAATGCTATTAATACAAAATAACTTAAACTACACGCAACGTAGTCGCTAATACTCAAACGAAAGAGATAGACGGGATGGAAAAAGTTCCATCGATCATTTCGTTTACGCACCTAATATTCTATATACCAAGCAGTTATTAAGTCTCTCGCTCTCTCCCGTTCGACCGCTCCGGCCATCTCCGGCACCGTTCGGTACGCGTCGGCACCGACGGAGTTGCTGTATTTTTTGACACTAATTTTCAAGATAATAAAACTTCTGTATTTCACTTAATTTGAGAGACACGTAACTGAATATTAACATACGTTCATTATTTAATTACTCGCAATAAATAAAATTTTTGTAAGTAACTAACGTGTAAGTAAATTCATATGTAAAAATTTACCAATTGCCAGAAAGTAATTATTCGTGTGTATTAAGATTCTTACAATAGGCAGTAAAACTATTCATAGTCCCATATAAATTATAAATATGTAAATGTTAATAAAAGCGGTGTATATATTCTCCCACATGTAGATTTGATAAACTATTTATGAAACTACATCTATTCTGAATTTATCTGTTACAAATATACAAATGTAAGACAAGATATAAAAACGAATAAAACAAGAACATGTAAAAAGTAACATTAATAAAATGTCCATTAATTGTCTATGGTACACACATATATGTATAGCTGTCGTCTTCCTCAAGCACAGGATTTGAAGTTTAAAAAACGTAGATTAATCCCCTGCCATTGACAATAACAATAAACGATCAGAACACTGTTAAAATCGTATTTAATTGCAGAATACCACCATTTTTTTGACCGGTGGCGTCACCCGCGGTAACTTGCTCAAACTGCTAGCCAAATTATACCGACAGATGAGTGTAAATTCCTAGTGATGGAAAAATGCGAATATCTCAGTTATTAATCGCTCAAAATGAACGCCATTAGTCTCAAATTATTCCTGAGAACTTAATACATCGACCCAGACCTGCAGAACTCAAGAATTAGTAAAATTATTTCTGTTTACGTTAGTGCTGACTCTTATGGAGCGGCAACACTGAAGAATACAGTAGACATTCGTTTCCTGCGCTACCGTTATCTGTACGGAAGTCATGCCCCTTACTCATTTGCATATGCTCACACACGTTCGCGTACCCTACTCTGTTGTCCAACACATTATTTGTTGCAATCACTGACCCGTGCGTTCCTACACTTTTATACATAAATAAGATAACTAAGCAAATTTCCTCATCGTCGTTTTCGGGGTCAAAGTTCTTCCGCTTTAAACGGTCGGTCGGTGGCTCCGTTTTCGAGAGCCCGACCGGAAGGGGGCTTGGAGGCCGCTCGTCTCGCGCGCGTCGTGATCCAATAAAACGTTCTCCAGCAGCTCCGCGGCGGTGATTCATAAATCCGGGCGTATATCTCGGCCCCATCGGCGTCTCTGAAACAGGTTACGCCGGCGAGCAGTTCGGACGGGAAACATTCTTCCGTGGTTCGAGGAATCGACGTCTCCATTAATTAGACACCGGTCGATCGAGCGTGCGACGGACCACGTCGCCGTCGCAGCCTCCCGTGAAATTGTGTTCCCCGTTGATTTACGAGCACGCGCTCGCGCTAGAGTCCTCTAGCTATCCCTCCTATCGGCCACGTATTATTTCCTCCGTCGTTTCTCCCGTCGAGCGTTTCTCGTTCGTTCGTCACGCGCCAACCAGTCCTTCTTCTCCGTTGCTTTCTATCCTTACAATTCATAGTTTCCTCACCGGTCCCTTGCCTCTTCTTACTGCCCCATCGGACCCCATTTTCTTGGGAACACGCTTACGCAAGAGAATAAAACACGAGTCGGCGGGAATAAGAAACGATTGACCAACGTTTTGTAAGCCCGAGGAATAAATTACGGATTCAGTTTGTTCGCGAAGCGGTAAAAATCGTCGTCGGCTGGACGGTACCGCGTGTGGCCGGAGCCAGGCAAGAAGTGTGTAAACACGGTGCACCGATCCAATTCGGGGGTTGCTGGTCGGT